CTCTTTGTAATGTTGTAATTTTAGATACAAGTCGTTGTAGTCCCCTTCAGTTCTTCGTGTTCCTTTGATCTTTAGTTTGCAGGCTGTGTCACTCCCATTTTGGTACACGTGCTTGCGTTGGTTTCTTTCACTGTTTTACTAGAAAGAACTAAAATGTTTAATATTTTTAGTTGTGGGATAAATTTTATTATTGTTTTTCGAACAGAGTCCACCGCTACATTCGAGTTAACATTAAAGTGTTTTCACTATAGTTCTTTTTTTCATTGATGGCATATACGGTCTTAACTTTTGAAGGGGAGAGGGGGGACTGTACACTTCCGTTTGAAGTCAGCTCACCATACACTTGGCTGTGGCCAATATTTTTGGACTGGTGCTTTTTACAGTAGATGCATCTGGCGTCATCAGTTGCGGCTATTGGGTTAAGAGGTCTTCTCCAAAAACTTTGTTTAAAAGTTTTTTTTTGCAGTGAGGTTTTAAGACAATGTTTTCCAGCCGCATCAATATTCGCTGCGAAAATATAAATGTTGTCGAGATTTTGAACAGACTGTGTAAGTCGAAGTGCATTGTGTTCAGACACAGGCTAGGTTGTTTATGTCATACCTGTGATAGGGAATTGGCAAAGGTAGGGTTTCATAGTCAAGGCAAAAGTTATTTCACGGTGCAGTTACTGTCTCATTCGATGCAGTTCTGTAAACGGCAAGTACGTTTTGAGACTTATTGGTAACAGACTCAAAAGACAATGGAAGCTATTTTGACTTCTTTCTCTCTATAGATTGAATTGTTTTGGGGGTTATTCCTTTTTAAAAGTTCGTATATTTTGAGATACGATAGGGCGCATTGGGGGAAGTGATGGTCGGAATTTCCATGATAAGTGACTCGATGTGGCTATCGCGATTCAGAGATGTTTTGTGATGAGGCGTTGATTCTGGTTTTATCTTTGTAAACTGTTTTTGGTACGGTCACTTTTTGAATGCCATTTGACTATGTTTTGATGTGTTTAAATAATTTTCATGATAGTGTGAAACTTAGAAAAAAACTTGTAATGTTCATGGTGGACCACTTTTCTGAATTTTGCGACATTTTTTTCAGAAAAGATCATTGCATTATAATATTTTCCCTTTGTGATAGCAACTGATTAAGTTTTCAAAAGTAGTCGTTTTGACCAGCGTCCGTTGTGTCTGAAGTAAAAACTGAAAAAATTCTTTGTAGCTCAATATTTTTTGGACGTCTGAAAAACAAGAGCACGCTCGAACGAATCACTTCTTTTAAAATCGTTTCTGTAACCAGTGGCCGTTTGGAGAAGTATCTTTTGAAACAATTATTTTTTGTATTTCTTCAGTTGATTAGGAGCCATACCAGTCTCTCGGCGAATAATTTTACCCAGTAATCTATTATCTCCTGCTTCTCCTTTATAACCGTTTCTTTAGTGAACTGAGCCCAAGACTCAGGTTTGCATTGTACTTTTCTTCAGAATAAGTATGGTCATATCTAGAAACCTAAATCGTCTTTTTTTTCTTTTTTTGCTTAGTGAAGTAGTTGTTTCAAGGTCTACCTCAAAAATCTTCATTATAAATGATTACAAAGAATTTAATTTTAATTTTTTAGGAAGCTTGAAAAGCTTATTCAATATCTTTTTTTTGAGCCTGAGTTTTTCTTTGCAAAGAATATTCATTTTTAGCCATTTATGAATAATTTTCTATTTTACTGATACTTTTTTTTCCACTTATTTACTCCGTTGTTCAGTTTTGTCACTAATAACAAGCGACATCTTGCATGGAGTCTTCTAAACAGTAAATGTTCAGTGCTTGCCATGACTTTTGTTATGAAACCACTTTCAAATCATGTTTGAATCAGTTCATAATTTTGCAGTGAATTTCAATTTTTGTACATTTAAGTTTATTGAATACTTATGTTTCACGTATTTGAAGTGTTTATTAGCGCTTGAGCAGGTCAACATTTTGAAAACTTTTTATCCCTTCCTTGTTTGTTTCTGTTTTGCTTAAATGTTTGCTGATGTACGTGTTGCATTATTCTCATAAATTTTTTGAAGCAGTTTAAGAAGATTGGGTGATGCAGAACAGTTTTATTCAATTGTTTTTGGCAATAAATAATTTGATCAAATTTTCCGGGTTGGGTCTTTTATTAAGCAGCGATAACGAGCACTTTTTGTTGCAAACTATTAGCCACTGTATCGTTGGTTACCTATATAAAATAAAGCTCCAGAAAGATTTTTTAATTACATGACCATTTTAAGAGAAAAAAAATTTTTTAACCTCACAGAAGTTTAAGTGCTGTTAAAGCTCTTCTGCGATGTGTTTGAGTGCCAAGTAAAAATTTGTCATCTCACTGATGGGCTAATTTTGGTTTTACAATGATGATTCACCGTTACTGAAGTGTGGGTGCTATTCCAGTTTTTCCGATATTCATCTCAGTGGTTGAAATCCTTTAAATATGAGGAAAAGTCTTTAGTAATTTGATTGCTTGCAAAGAATTCAAGTTTCTTTGCTGACTGCGCTCAGTTTTGTTTGCATAACCGGTAACGAGTTGAAACATTCTTGTTTTTTCTGATCGGTTGTCGAATTTTGATGCAAAGACCTTGCAACTTTTATTTTTTCATTTTTGTTGTGAAATCCTTTATTTTTTAAGAGATAACAAATAAACTTAATTATTTGTTCTCAAATATATCGTTCATTGCGGTAAGAATTGCCAAAGTATGATATGACTGAGCTAAAG